ATGGGGAAAGAAGTTCAAACTCAAAATCAGGCCAAGACCTATTCCTATGAAGTGGAAGTCAGATATGCCTTCACCCTATAACCATCTTTACCCTATTCTGACATCAACCATCCCTTCCACAGCACTCTCTGCTTCACATCTGGATTCCACAATCCATTGCAATGGCCACACAGAACTCCTAACACTACTCACACTATTGGGGTTTGTTAGCAAAGTGAACAAGGTGCAACTCAGAAGCAGAAACAACTCAGGATGAAGCTGTTCTTGAGTCAGAAATGCCTCTTATAGGCCATACTACAAACATGCCTCACTCCTATCTTCAGCCTTTCAACCATGGGGCCTCATGGCCTCTGCCCTGCTCGGCTAGTGTTACCAAGTTCCTTTAGTCAGTCTGTTAATGTCCAAAGGGCACAGTCTACAGGGCAGCCTCCTGCCCTAGGCACTCAGCTCTATTTGACCCATGGGCCTGGATGCCTGCAATTGCTCCACGTCATCACCTTTGCCACAGCCTCTGCTGTTGCCTCTTTTCTAGGTGGGGATCTCACACTCCACTCATCTGCTTCTTTCTTGATGGTCCTGGGATCATCTGTTCCTTGTTCTGAGATGCTCCTTTAAACCTAGAAGGATGTTAAAACTAACCAATTCCAGACTTTAGAGTACTGATTGGGTGGAACTTATTTGCCTGGTTCTACCCAATCACTTGGCAGGAATTAAGAAGATATTGGGTAGAATGACACTATGAAGTAAATTCAAGGTACCACAAGTTCTGATCCTGCAATGCCACTCCAGGACTGCATATCCTACTCTGTTGTCAGTTCTGACTCTTAGAGACCCTGGATGGGTTTCCAAGGAGTGGTTGGTGAGTTTCAACAACCAACCTTTCTGTTAACTGTCTAGTGTTTCTTCTACAACACCACACCAGGACTCCTATCTATTTGTGGTAGTAGTTACCAGTGCCTTTGAGTTGCTTCAAATTCATAGTGACCATGTGCAGGGTTTCCAATGAGTGGCTATAGTTTTGAACTGCCTACCTTATGGTTCAAAGTCCAGGGCGAATCCTGTAGTGATCTTGCAAGTGTCCACCAAAGATGCAACTATTGAAAGCTCCCCATCTGAAGCACAGAGAGGGCAGAAAATCATGGTTATTTTAACTCTCTTTATCCTCTCACCTCAGGACACTGGAGGCAAACATAGACTCAGGAATGCAAGGCAGAGCAAATACACTGAAGCCCTACTTTTCCAGCCAGAAGACAGGAGGTGGGGGAAGGGGTCCTCCTTTTCCATTTTCACAATTGGAAAGTGTTGGGGTGATGGCTTAGAGAAGGAAAAATTTAAAAGCAATCCCATGCACTGGGTGTTTGAAATGTAATCACACTTTTTGAAAAGAAACCTCCCAGCCTGCCATAGGGGGCACTCAAGACCCAGGGTGAATCAGAGAGGCCTGGGCTCCTCCCCTAATCCCACCCCATTACCTCACTGCCAACACCACAGCACTTCTGAGGAGACAACTTGGTAGTCTTCTGAAACAGATTCTCAGTTAAAGCTCCATGCCTGTCTCATCAATTAGGAAGAACAGCTCTAACTGTCCTTAGCTCTAGGAATAACACTTTTTTTTTTTTACTAAGACTTGAGTTTTCCAAGGGTTATACTCTTTTTAATCATCACTTTTTTTTTTTTTTCATCTGGTTCCCTTTTCTTCTAGGGTTCAATAGAGGAAGACATGCTGTGGTCTCTTGCCTTCCTCCTAGCTTTCTTAGCTCCTGGTAAGTGTGTTTCATGAGTGTTGAAGGGCTTTTTAATTTTTTCAAATGAGAGCCTGTACTAAGAAATAACTCCATTTGAGGTTGATGTTCCCTTTTCAGGAAGTCAGAAAGCTTCCAACATGGAAATGAAACAGAAGTTAATCATCAGGCCAACGAAGGCATCTGTCATAATCTCCTGTGATCTTCTTGGTCACAACATCAACTACATCCACTGGTACCGATACCAAGAAGGACGAGCCCTGCAACGTCTCCTTTACTACAACTTCCCTGATTCAAAGGTGGTGTTGGACTCAGGGTTCACTTTAGGGAAATACAATGCTTATGAAGGTACAGGGAGGAGCTGTAAATTTGTGTTCAACTATCTGGAAAAAAGTGATTCTGGTGTATATTACTGTGCCACCTGGGACTTAACACGGTGATTCAGACTTCCCTTGTCCCACACTTAAAATTTTTGTTTGTGGCTGCCAACAGTCTTGGTACATAAGACAGACCAGCTCTTGTCTCTTCACTTCCTTCCCCTAACTTCACTGTATTCTTAACTATGAGAAACTCTGAGCTCAACAACTACCCCTCAGCCTTCCTTCTTCCAAGCAGCTAGAACTCTCCCTACCCTGCACCCAGGCAGAATTTCATCCTGATGTACATGAGGCAGCATGAATCATAATTGACGGAACAGCAACTAGCACAACAACATAGGTAGGCTGGTTTACTGAATTATCTATCCAGTCATTGTGTTGTTGTTAAGTGCTGTCCAGTCAGTTCTGACTCATAGGGTATCTAGGAGTGGCTGGTGAGTTTGAACTGCCAACCTTGTGGTTCAAACTGACCTTGCAGTCTAGTGCATTCCTACAGTGCCACACCAGGACCCCATCCAGTCATTATGCAGAGATAAAAGCTGTAAATTGTTTGTATTTGTTGCTTAGGAGTATAGAAAGGGATAGAATGAAGGTTCTGGACTGCATGAAGACTTCCAGTTGGTGTCTTTTGGACAAACTGACATGTGCTGTACCATCACCGGCCATGGTACTGTTAGCATGATTATGAATCTCGGAAAAAAGTAACAGATAGTCCAACTGTTGTCTCCTACTTATAACTTCTTTTGGGGTAGTCTGCCCCAGCTCATACCCAGAGCTGTTCTATTTTCAAAAAGTAATACTCTATTCCCTTCTTCTCCCCCAACATTGATACAACCAAGTTATAAACTGAAACTAGTTCAGCTTTTTCAGATTCTCCCGCCAATAATTAAAACTAAACCTTAGTTGGTGTGATAAATAGATAATAAATATTATGAGTTTTTTATTTTATTTTATAACAACCAATAAAGTCAGAAAAGCAACGAGGGAGCTCCAATCTAAGTGATCTAAGGTGATGCTAACAGACCCCAGTGTTCTTAGGGACATGATAAATATTGAATCTATATGGGATGCCTTTTCTGTATCATTAGAACATCTCAAGACAGGCTGACAGTCTGATGCCAGCAGTCCCTGTTTTCAAATCCAGAATCCTTTGAATGAGACACTTGGTTCCCCTGAGAAAAAATCTGGGAAGTATATGGAGGGCTTTCAAAAATTAATGGAAAAATGGAATTAAATATAATGATATTTTTCATTAATTTGTAAAATCTTTAATTGTACAGTGAGTGATAGTTTACATGGGAGAACATCAGTTTTGCGCTCAAATACTATCGTATTTCCTATCACTGAAATGATTACAATCCCCTCTATGCATCACCCTTCAACAATATTTGCTTCTACTCCTTCTGGTTTTGTTTTTTTTAATGTACAGAAACACACTCCTGGCCACCAGCACACAGCCTTTTTCCTTCCATGAGTCTAGGGTCCTCAGCTGTGCTATCTCTCGAGGTCATCATCTTTGCCTCCATCTCTGATGTGGCTTCTACTCATTGTAGGGTCCCACATTCTGCTCATGCTCTTATTCCTTAATGGTCTTAGGGTCCTCTGTTCCTGGAATATAAGGTTAACTACTCCCTGCTTTGTGTTACAAAATTTCTACCTTTACAATTGTGACAATTGCAATTAGTCATGATAACAATTACTCACTAATGAATCTTAAGAATCTTATCCACATCTCATTTCACCAGATTCATCTAGACAAAATAAAAACCATTCAGTGGGGATTCTACCTTCCACTCCTAAACTAAACTCTCTCTTGAAAACTTGTAAGGCAGCCACTACATGCCTTTATTGTCTCTCCGTATTGGGTAGCCAGTGTCTAAGTTGCCCATCCCTATCAGCCCTGTGTACACAGGGGATAAGTTTGATCCTTGATGTGAATACTCCTTTCCTGTTGGTTGGTATTTTGAGTTACTACATCCATTAGTATAGGGCAAGTTTATCAAATTGTAGCAATTTACACTTGTTTCCTTTTTCAAATTTCTTTATTTTCCTCTATTAGAATTCTGATCATCAAGCCATTGAAGCTAAGTCAAATGGGTACCATCTGCAACTTTGGGCATTCTTGTGCATCTCTCCTCACTTCATAGCAGCTGGATGCTTCACTCTCAGCTCTAGCACTCGGCCCTTGTCCATCGGGCTTAGGAGTCCTCAGGTCTCACCACATTTCAGACCAACCAGCCCTTCCTCTTCTCACTCTCATCTCCAAGTCAATGGGAATTTATGGAACGTTGTTGAACTCAGCCTATATCTTCATTGCTTCCTTTCCCCTTGTTCCCCTTACCAGTAGACCAACATGGTGGCCAGCAAACTCACATGTCTGCTCAAGTGTTTATTCACTTGAAATACGAAACTTAAGAAAAGATACCCATACTAGAAGAAAGGAATAAAAAGATTCTTTGTTGGTTGCCAGGGGTGGGAGGGAGGGGATGGTAGAGCAAAAGTTAGAGGATAGACACATCATAGTTTGGGTGTTGGGGAAGACAATACACAAGAAGGGGAAGAGGATGGAAAAAAAAACATAGATAGAGAAACACTTAGATTTGCATGGGCTAAAAGAGACAGAGGTAAATAGTGTTATATGCTCAACCTTGGAACAACAGGGCTCTGTGATACAGGGATCCAGGCATAGTCTGAGTGGTAAAAGAGGGAAAATAATGTTAAAAAGCTTTGCTGTTTTATGAATGTTGGTTTCCCTTGCCTACTGTTGTAAAATAGACACTTGAGTGAAATAGAAAGGAGTATCGGGAAACATGATTACAAAGAATTTGTAAGCCCATCTTCAGCCCATAACTGACTAGACATGTAAAATGGAATCTAGAAATTCCCCAGTAAAATAGACTTCTGTGGAGCCTTTGTAGTGTTTAGGACTGTAGGTTGAATCCTGACTCCCATCCAGAACTTTCTGAGATGGGACATTTCCACTTATTAGAACATGCAGACCAGCCTGGAGCGGCTAAGGGAACAGCAGATACTTGTTGAAAGAAAGATCAGTAGGAAAAAATTGAAAACAAACATGGTAGTCTGATTGGTTACTATGAGAACAAACAAATTGTTCACCAGGGAGCCATCAAGGCAAGTAATCAAGTCCCTTCAGGACAACCCCCGCTCTAAGACTGAAACTCAAAGGAATCCACTAATATTTTGATGACCCCTCATATATAAAGGTAATTTGCCCAATTTTTCCTTAGAGGCTCTGTGGCCATTTACCTGAGTAGCTGTACACTAAGGGCGAATGAAAGCCAAGATCTTTCAAAGGTTGTTGGAGACATGATCTGAACCAATATCAATACCCAGAAACCCAAACTGTCATCATATGTCCCCGGTTATAGTGAGAGTCTATGAAAAGCAGGCATTTAAGGAAGTTCTAGGCAAAGTTCATCTGTGTGTGTCCGGATATGGCATTCTGAGATAAAGCACTGGACCATAAAGTTGGTTTGAACAAAATAGGTCAGTGGTTCAAAGCTATTAGTAGGTTATAGAACATTGTCATTGTGGACTGTTGTTGTTGTTAGGTATCCTCTACTTGGTTCTGACTCATAGCCTCCCATTTTGCAGGAGCAGAAAAACCTATCTTTCACTTGTGAAGCAGCTGGTGGGCTTGAACTGCAGAGCTTGTGGTTCACAGTCTAGTGCTTATCCTACAGAGCCACCATGCTCTCATCATGCTACGATGGTGGTTGTGTGCTGTCAAGTCAGTTCTGACTCATAGTGACCCTGTATAGGGTTTCTACAGGAACAGAAAGCCTCATCTTTCTTTCATGCAGTGACTGGAAGATTTAAACTGCTGATTTTAAGGTTAGCAGTCTGATGATTAACCCACTAGGTTCCTGATATCCTACTATGGCATTGTTGATAAGTGCCATCAAGTCAGTTCTGCTTCATACACATAGGGTTTTCAAGGAGCAGCTAGAGGGTTTGAACTACTGACCTTGCAGTTAGCAGTCCAATGCTGCAAAAACCTTATGGGGCCATGCCTGAATTCCTCTGGCTTCACAATGAGGAAAGAGAATCAAACTCAATATCAGCCAAAGACCCATTACTATGAAGCAGATGCCAGATATGCCTCCACTGTTCAACCTTCTTTACCCTATTCTGATGCCAACCATCTCTCCCACAGCACTGTCTGCTTCACATCTGGGCTCAATAATCCATTGCAATGGCCACACAAAACTCACAACACTACTCACGATTCTAGGGTTTATTAGGCAAGTGACCAGGGTACACTCAGGATCAAATCCAATTTAGAATGCAGCTCTTCTCAAGTCAGAAACGCCTCTTGTCTGAAATATTGCAGACACACCTCACGTCTGTTTTCAGCCTCTCAGCCATGTGGTCCCACGGCCTCTGCCCTGCTCAGGCTAGTGTTACCAAGTTCCTTTAGTCAGTGTGTAAATGTCCAAAGGGCACAGTCTACACAGCAGCCTCCTGACTTAGGCACTCAGCTTAATCGTCCCTAGACCTGGACGCCTGCAGCTGTTCCATATCACCGCCTTTGCCACGGCCTCTGCTGTTGTCTCTTTTCTAGGTGGGGATCTCACACTCCACTCATCCTCTTCTTTCTTGATGGTCCTGGGATCATCTGTCCCTGATTCTGAAGTGCTCTTTTTAAACCTAGAGGGCTGTCAAAACTACCAATTCCAGCTTTAAATCCTGTACACCTATCTTATTTGCATGGCTCCTCTCCCCCCAATCACTTGGTGAAAATAAAGAAGATAGTGGATAGACTGACCCTATCAAGTAAATTCCAGGACCCACAAGTCCCTTCTCCTCCAGCTCCACACCAGGACTCCATATCCTACTATACTGTTGTTAAGTGCTCTGGTTTCAATTCTTACTCAGAGAGAACCGTACAGGTTTTCCAAGGAGCAGCTGGTGAATTTGATCCACCAAGATTTCTGTTAACACTCCAATGTTTTCTATACACCACACAGGCCTCCTCTCTTACTATTTGTTGTGGTTGTTACAAGTGTTGTCGAGTTAGTTCAGTTTCCTGGTGAACCTGTATAGGGTTTCCAAGGAGTAGCTGGTAGTTTTGAACTGCCGATCCTGTGGTTCAAAGTCCAATGCTGATCCTACAGTGAGTCTTAAAGTCTCATAAGTGTCCACCTAAAATGCAAATGTCAATTGCTCCGCATCTGAGGCACAGAGTGGGCAGAGAATCATGGTTACTTTTCATCTCTAT